GTTGTATTCTCAATAAAAACCCTGCTAGTTAGGGACTCAGGGCTCTCAATCTCGATCCGCTGTGTCGGTGACAGTTGAGAGTCCCTGCTTAAGCTTGAATAAACGACCCTTGTGTGCTTACATTGGAAACGGCCTCCTGGTGGTCTTTGGGACTTCACAATCTGGACACAACAAAGAAAGGCTGGAAGGTAGAGTCCGGTTACTGAAAGCCTGCTAACCAATTTCTAACCTTGAAAATTCACCAAGTTGTGAGCAAATTCTTTGACAATCCAGAAATTTAATCCTTTATAAAGCTAATAAATGTTAAGATATAGAAGCCAGAGTAACAAGGCAATCATTTACAATGACAGACCTCATTATCAGCCAGGGAGCTTGGCCAGTCTGGCTGGTCCATCTTGCAGCAGATACACAGAAGTGTGAGGCATCTGTTTGGCCTCAGAGTCAGCCCAAGAACCTAACTGCTGGCCAACTAGGGAGCTGGGACAAATTTATCCCTCTGGGGGCAATCTGTTTTTCTCTTTTCTAGATTTAATCTGTCACTCACTCATTCATTCCTTTAACCAACAACTATTTTTTGAATCTCCATTTTGTCCATGTCCTAGGAGTGCTGCTGTGAATAGAAGATACAAAGTCCTTATCCTTGTGGAGCTTACTTTCTAATATGGAAAGACAAGTAGCAAACTTATAAAGTATATAAGCCTTTTGGGGAATGGGACTGGGCTCTGGGGAATGAGGGAAGGTATGAGAGAGGAGAGAAAAAGGGAAAGTAAAAAGGATCAGGATGTGATATGTGCATGTACCAATTCCCTACAATGAGTCCATTCATTGCAAACATATACTAATAAAAAAGGAAGAAGAAATAAAGTCCTTTAATTGATTAAAAAAGAATGTGTCAATGTATACATATTAATGATGTAATACTTTGGTTTTTTCCACAGGGATTATTTAATCAACAGTCAATTCAATCACCACATGAGTCTTAGAAGTAAGAAAATGTCAAATGTTAATTTTTTATTAATTCATCACAGTATTTTTTTGGAAAGTTTGTAAATTATAGGAAAAACAATTCTCAAATCTTCCATTTATGAGCCAGGCTCAGCAGTAAATGTACATTTGCCATTTTAATCCCCTCTGACTCCTTCTAATATAAATTCCATTATCCTTCTTTCTACACAGCAGAAGACAGAAGTTTCAGAAGGTTACTGAACATTTACTGGGTTTGGTTTGGATGTATTCTTCTCTGGAAAATGTTCCCCATTATTGATGGTTTCCATGGAGGGTGTCCTGCCTCCTCATGTGGAGACCAGGCTGAGGGGAGATCCACTTGCTGCTTCTGTCTGGAGATGAAGACAAGGGCACATGACCCTAGCTCAGTCAACAGACTCTCACACCCATGACTTTGTTGCTGAGGAAGAGAGTCAAAGACATTTAGAAACAAGAGCCACAGCAGCCTAGCTGTCCGGCTGCAATACTGTCCAGCAATGAGAGGCAAGGCTCCCATGACTGCTCACACGGCAACTTTGGTTTCTACTGCCCTTATTACCACTGGTTTTCCAACTTTCCTGGCAGTTGTGTCGTCTACCTGACACCCTTACAACAAATATAGACTCTCTTCAGTTAACCAAAGATGGTTTCTATAGTTTAAAATTTAAGACCAGTGACTGGTAACACATCTAGAAAGTGGCCAATTAGTGTTGTATTCTCGGGTTGCCTAAATACCAATCCTGTGCTCTTTACCTAAGGAAGAAAAATAGTCAATCAGCAGTTTGCTCAACAGTTATTCCCATTACATGCACAGCAGGCGCAATCTTGACAACCTAAATGTCAAAGATTTACTAAAATGCCAAGGAACTGAATTCAGCTAGGATGAAGCAAGGAGCAGTTCACGCTAGAAAACTTGATTCTATAGTCTGAAACACTTAACTCCTTGTATTACTGGTACATGGACATATAGGTTCTACCTGAATTTTTTAAGCAGTCTTCAGGGTCTCCAAGTATCATCCTTAGTCTGGAAGATTCCAATCTCCTGGCTCAATATATTATTTTTATCATCCTACTAATCTGTATATACTATGCTTTCCACATTTCTCTGATAGGATCTCATATTGCTTTCCTTTTTGTCCTTGACTTACCTTGATATGATCTTTTTAGATTTGAATGATTTGGATTTAAATTTATATTTGATACAAGAATGACAGAGAGTAAACCTCTGCTCCCCTAAAAAGATGGAAAAAATAGAAAAAGTATAGTGATAAGTGACATTCTCTCTATATATAAGGGTAAAAGGTATTACCTATCACTGACTCTATCATGAAATTCAATTGTGGTAAATGTAAATGACCTATAAGAACATAAGTTGCTGTTCCTCTTCTGAATTTTTGCACTTAAGAATTGAAGTACTGTACTTGGGAACATTAGGACTTTCTGTGCATTGCATCTTAAAACTATAATGCTAAGACACAGGAGGTTAAATATCTCATGATTTCTCTTATATTAAACATACAAAGTATAAATAATTTAAAGAACAAAATTAAAAGTAGATGATAGAAAACAGGGAGGTAGACATTGTTGAAATGGGAAGGGTATCTGGAGATAGAGGGAGACAGGACAGAGGGGAGAGGAGGGGAAAATAAAAGGGATTAAGTGTACTGTGTATATGTACTAATTCCCCATGATTAATGTATTCATTATGTATTGCAAATATAATTTAAAAAAGAATGATCAATGGGAGAGGAGGAGACACTTTGAGTTTCAAGGGATACAAGACAAACAGAAAATAAAGAAAGTAAAAGTGCTATAAAAAAAGTATTTTTGTGCATTAGAATAGTGGATACTAGAACTAGAAGTATCTAGAGCACACTTCACTTACTTTGCTTCTAAACTGGAACTTTTGAATCTTAGAAGAAGACTCAAGAAAAAGAAGAAACTTCTTCAAGAAGAAGTTTTAGAGTCATAGAAGTAAGAATATTTTCTCTTTAATGACCTCAGAATTTCTCACCATCATTCTTCTCACTCCAACACTCTGCTCCTTGTCTGCCTTTGCACTGGGCCAATGGGGTGAACTGAAACAGAGAGTAAACCAGAGAACAAGAGGAACAGTCAGAGGGAAGAGTCAAGGATTCAGTCCTTATTTATCTTTCCCAGTGTCTATGAAGGTATAGTAGTTGGACAGCAGAGAGGGAAAAAAGCACAAAAAATTTTTGAAAGATTACTATGATCTTTTCCATTCCTGAGACCAAAAAGTACAAACTGTATATGTTTATACATTCATCCATTCATAAAATAAACTTGATTGACTTTTTAAAAATAATCTTTTACAAGCTTGTAATTCATTTGAATGAGTGTAATAGAACTGTGAGTTTTTTTCTTCTGAGACATATTTCACTCATCTCTCAATAGGTAACAGATGTGATGTCTGCCTGGGTAACATGCTCTTCTCAAGTACCTGCTGCTATTCCCTAGACCCCACAGACCAGCTCTGACTCCATCACTCTCTCATCCATGCAGGAAAATATAGCAGAATACAAAGAGGCAGAAAGGGAGAGAGAACTATAAGAATAACCTTGAATCTCATCTAAATGTGAAGGAAAGTCATTTATGTACTACCATGGTTCATAAATTATTTGCAACAGATTTCACAAATAACTTTCAAATACTAGGTATTTCTCCACTGAAAAGCATGGCCCCAGAAGGCAAGAGCGTATTGAATACTTTCTGTGACTGGGGTGTTCTTGGCACTTTTTAGACTTTTATTTTACCTCAGATTCCATGATTTTGCTTGTTTAACTAATTCAATGGTTTTCCAACTTTAGCGTGCATCCAAATTATGTGGAGAGCTTGTTAAGCCTCTGACCAAAGGGCTTTATTCTCAGAGTTTCTGACTCAGTGAAGCTAGTTGGGTCCCAAGAATCTGAACTTCCTACAAATTCCAAGGTGAAAGTGCTGCAGCTGACCCACAAAGTATGAGAATCATTGATGTAGCCGTCAATTAATCCATTCAAAAACATTTGTTAAAATAAAAGCCAATCGGGCTGGGGATTTAGCTTAGTGGCCCTACGCCTGCCTTGCAAGCGCAAGGTCCTGAGTTCAATCCTGGTATCAAAAAAAAAAAAAAAAGCCAACCATGAGCTGGACACCAAAACACTGAACATTATTTCATAAGAGGTTATATCTACTGAGTACCTTGTTAAGAGCTTTGTTATGATATGATTTCTTCCCTATATCCCCCTCTCTTTTTTTGGTAGTACTGAGGATTGAATCCAGGGCCTTTGCATTGAGCTACAATCCCAGTCATTTCTGTCTTTCTTTCTTTCTTTTCTTTCCTTCCTTTCTTTATTTCTTTCCCTCTTTCTTTAAAGATAAATTCTCACTAATTTGCTAAATTGCCCAGACTGGGCTCAAACTTACTCTCCTATCTCAACCTCCCAGAAGCTAGAATTTTAAAAATGAAAGTGGCACAGCTTAAAGAGAGTAAGCAACCTGTTCAAAGTCATATACACAGATGTCATAATTAGGACCTGAACTGTCAAAACTAAGATGAAATATCAGAGAAACAATATCCCCAAGTACAGAGAATGTACTTGGGAATAAGAGGAGTATAATCCAGCAGGCATCCTAAGGCAAGCCACAGGTGCACCATACATCCAAAGAGGATAAGGAAAGCTTTTATCAGCAAAAGGGAGAAATTCACATAAGTTGCCTGGTTTCAAAGTTCATTGGTCTTTTTGACCTGAGGCAGGAGTTGGCATCAGCTCATTGGTGAAGGTTCTCCTGGGAGAGCATCTTGTCTGAAATGTTGTAGTATTAAATTACTTAACATAAATAATAATAATGAAATCTGTGCATATATTTGAAGTGTGCAAGGCATAAAGGGTTGGAAGGACTTTCTGATTTGGGGTTTTTTTTTTTAACTCCTGAGACAGTTTTTGCACTTAAGCAGGCAAAACCTGAGCTCTCATTCTTCATACTTTCCCAGTTCTGAATTTGTCTGGATGAGACAAGAGTGACTTCATCTTGCCATCAGCAATTTTTGCAGAACACAAGAATAATGGATGCCAAGTGGTACTAGCAGACACCATGCTGTATGCTATGTGCCCTCATCAAATTGAGAAGACTACACAGAGCAGCATTAGTGTCAGTCTTCTGAAAATTAAAAAAAAAATCAATGTTCATTATGAGAAAAGAAAGAAATGGAAACAAAGTCTACTTCAATAGGGAAGTGTGGAGGGGGGGGAGGGCACACAGTTAATGGGGAAAAATAAAAAATAAAAAAAATAAGACCCAAGATACATCATGTACAGATACAAGCACCCAATGATAAATGTAAACGTATTATATACCTAAAATGTACCAATAAAAGAATTTAAGCAAAAAAAATATCAATGTTCACAGAGATTAAATAATTTGTCCAAAGTCTAGGAAATATCTTAAAATTTAATCTCTCCTTTTCTGACTCCAAACTGCTTTTCCCACCATACAACATGATTTCTCCATGATATCTTTAGGTCAAAAGTTATCTTATTCACATCTAGGAAGAAAGAATTAACCCAAATTAACCAGAGTGCACAAAGAATGAGGAGTTCTGGTGAACTAAAATGTAACTCTCATTTTAACTCATTCAAAAACTTAACTAACAGTAACCAGTTCACTTTGCACCCTATGTCAGCACTGTATAACATAATATAATATAACAGTGATGAGCTGGGATCTGGTGTCTGAGAACCATCATTATCAACAGCTTTTATTCCTGAGAAATGTCAAAGTGGACACAGAAGACACAGGGGATTGGGCTGAATGTGGGAGACCGCTAGACTACAGTACTCGATTATGTTCTTATTCAGTTACATTCTAATCATTTGCCTTTTCTGTAATCAGAATGGAAGAAGGCTCCTCAACTGAGACTAATCAAAGGTTTTGCTTGAGTTGGGTTTAAATCAATCAAGTTCACCCCAATTTATGTAAGTAGCTAACAAACTTCATAAAAAATAATTGTTTCTCTCCTTTTATGACTTGGTAAATCGCAAAGAAAGAAGCTTCCCCTGATTCCTGTGTACGCTCATGTTACCCCATCATCAGGGAGAGAAACAAGCTGTATAATTACCATTTGAGACATGAATCATCCTTGCTTGGAGGACCCAGACCTGCTTGACTCTATAAAAGGAGCTCAGGGTCGAAGTGCAAATGTGCAGTCTGCCATCCCCCAGGCTGATATAATTACCAAGCTACCAAGAGGAGATGAAGGTGCTCCCTGCATCTGGCCTTGCTGTCCTCCTTGTCACAGCTTTGAAGTTTTCCTCTGCAGACCCCACTGTATTTGCAGCCACCCCCAGGACCTGGAGGAACAACTTCCACCTCGCACAGGTTTGTGAATTTTTGCCCAATTCCCCCTTTCTCCTCCTGAGTTGGAAAACCTAAAAGGGTATAACGAGAAAATAAGCAAAAATCTATGGTTATTTTAAAATCACTTTTGTAAAGTTCCCTGAAGTCAAGTTAATGGTACCATATAAGATTGGTGTCTGGTGCATATTAGGTACATGTGTTGCATGACTAATAAATAAGGATGATGCAAATAATTCATATTGAAATTTTTGCAAGGATTACATGACTCAAAGTGATTCCAAGTGTTTGTTTCAATCCTTAACTTATAGAAATGGATTTCTAATGAGAGAATTCCCAGCATTAGTGAAAGGTGTGTGGAGATGCTTTTTACGGGACTTTCAGGAGCCCGTCAAAACCATAGCACACTGGGCCGGGGATTTAGCTCAGTGGTTTCACCTGCTGCGCAAGTGCAAGGACCCAAGTTCAATCCCCAGTACCAAAAAAAACCATAGCACACGTACAACTTGAACTCTGCTTCAGGGAGCCTTTCATGCCTGCACCTGTGGACAGCTTGAGCCAGGAATGCATTGTGGAGCTGGCTTTCACTTGTGCATACTGACCTATCCCCACCAACTATATCATTCATCCATTCTAATTGGCCAGTTCTACTGACACACCTATGGTTAAACATTTTCAACATCAACCTGACTATAAATAAAAAAGCTCAGTGGAACAGTAGATGCCCAGTACAAGGCTGTGGAACTGAACTTTCTTTGAATGGAGCCCACTTATAGATGAACTAAATTCAAAGTAACTCAGAGTACTGGAATCTATTGGAAATTGTACTTTATTGGTACCACCTAGTTTTGAGTCCTTTCTCCCCAGATGTAATTTCCCCCACCCAGACTCATGACACTCTGATTCAGAAGCTACAGAGGTTTTGCCACCTCTAGAAGGAGACTGTGCTGTGATATCAGAACAGATCTGAGGTGGTGGGAGGCCCTGATTCTAGTCCAGTGTTCAGGCAGACTATAGGCAATATGTGAACTAACTGCAGAGCTTTATGAAATCACAAGTGAAAATAGGCAGCTTACATTTACTTATTGAATGCCTACTGTGTGACATGTGGTGGAGAAACAGGAGCACACAAACACATCCCTGCTTTCTTGGCACTTATGCGGAGATGATGGAGTGGATGGGAAGGTGCTGGGAAGAGATGAACAAACTGATGGATAAGTGTGCAAGATAATTCCAGAAAGTGATACATGATATTGGGGAAAAATTAACTAAGATTGGGATGGTGGGGAGAAGTCCAGAAAGGCCTCTAGGAAGAAGCAGCATTTGTGATGAACCTAAACTGAATCAAAGAGCTTTCAGGTGAAGACTTGGAGACAGAGCAGTAAGGCAGAAGAAACAGCAAGTGCATCAGCCCTGGCTTGAAGCCTGAAGTGCCGTCCACCCACAGGCCCATGCAGCTGCAGCTGAGAGACCACAGGAAGAGGGTGCTGGATGAGCCCAGGGACAGAGTTGGCCAGTGGCTGTTCTGTGGACTGGTTGCCTGGGTTGGGTTAAACCTTCCACACTGCTCTCTTCTCTCTAGGTCACTGAGTGAAAGAACAAACAGCTCCTTGTGCCTGGAAACACCAGACACCTCCCCCCTCCAAATATCATGGACATAAATATCTACACTTGGAAATATAAACAGGTTCTTAGTTGATTTATTTAATGTTCACATGCATCCTTTAAAATTGATTTGCTAATTTGCATAAGGGTTTTGAAAACAATGGAATGATAAAATGCTTATTCTCATAATCTAGGGCTTATTCCAGGTTGTTTGTTTTAACAAATTAGTATAGGTGCTCTTTGATTTATGATGGAGTTATGTCCTGATAATTTCATGGTAGTTGAAATATTGTAAGTCAAAATTGCATCTGATACACCTAACCAACCAAATGTCATTGCTCAGAGACGTAGTACACCGTGGGATTCCTTGTTACCCTCGAGGCTGCCTGGCTGATGAGGAGCTGCGGCTCGCTGCTGCCCCCTAGCTGCAGAACCGTGTGGTACCGCACATTGCTAGGGGAGAGATCAAAATTTGACGTATGGTTTCTATTGAATGAGAACCATTTTCATACCTTCATATAGTAAAAAAATCATACGGTAAACCATCATAAGTCAGGGACCATCTGATAATATCAATATAACATTTAAAGCAGGGTTTTTAATTGTCTCTAAAAATAAATTTTCATTTACCACATTATTATAACTTCATAAATTATAAAATAAAACTTTCCAGATGCAAACTGTTAAGTTCAGGCATCTTTACTACCATTATTTTCTGTGATAAAGATGTTTTAATTGTTATTATCTTGTTCTTACTTTTCTTCTGATATGTCATCAGAAAACTTTGATTTTTATACTACTTTCATAAACATCTTTTGAGTCAAAGGTTGCCAGAATATAAGTGAGTTATAATTTATTCAGTTTTTCTTGGAAAATAGATTATTTCCATATGAATAATATTTCTATAGGCATCTATGTTCATCAGCTTAATGTATTCTTTTTTTCAAGATAGGTTTCCAGTAGTAGCATTAATTAATAAAAGGGCACTTAAAGTCTTTTGATACATTTGAAAGAATTTTCATATTGAGAAACCTCACTGGGTCCTCATTTTGGTGTTATCAATAGTGCAGAAACCAAACCCATTTATAAAAGAGAGCTAAAAATGAAAGAAACTAAAAGAATTGCCCAAGCTTGTTAGTGATTTGGCCTGACTAGAAACTATGATTTTTCCGAGAACATCAAAAGTTTCCACAAATCCATTTCAGTGATTTAGACAAAAAGGAAAAGAAATTTTGAATAAACATACCTGGAACTTCATCTTATCTCAATACACATATAAATATGAGTTTAGAACCCCTAATTCTCAGGAGGGATGTTATTAAAGCACACTAAAGTGTGTAAGTGAGAAGTGGGAAGAGGAACCTTGGCCACCAGCCTGTAGGGACAGACCCCTTTGGCCTCCCATTATTTGTCAAACATTGAAAAAGAAGTGGAAAAAGAACCACTTCATAATCAACCCTAAAACTCTATGATTTAAAAAACAGAGGAGTGGAGAAGGGGAGGGCCACACAAGACATCCTGGTGAGTCCTGAAATCTTACACCCAGTGCCAACAGCATACAAGGGTTGAAATATAAAACATGGAAGAAATTCTAAATGCACATCTAAGTGCCTAATGGAATACCTCTGAGAAGGATTGACTCTCAGGAGTATGCTGCAACCTTGCCAGTAACTTCAACAAGAAATTTCCTGGGATTTGGGGCTCTCCATACCTCAGAATATCTGTTGATTCTTCCAAGAAGCATGTTTTTATGCTTTGCCTAAAGAAAAGGAGTTCAAAAACTAACTGGGCATACACTTGGCGCCCAGAGCTGTGACAGGCACAGGGTCTAGGTCTGTAAAGTGGTCATGGTCTCCAGTAGGAGGAAGAATGCAACTGAGCAGGTGATATTAGTAAGAAATCGGTGGAAATTGAGGGTTATAATATAATGTGACAGATGCTTTACTACTATAAAAACTACATCCTGTGGGAGTAACAGGTAGGAACAATTTGTTCATATTCTTTTTTTTTTTTTTTTGGTGCCGGGAATCAAACTCGGGTCCTTAAACTTGCAAGGCAGGCAGTGGAACCACTGAGCTAAATCCCCAGCCCCTGTTCATATTCTTTTTAAGTAGGAATGTTTCCAATTTTATTTTTACTTCATTAAAATTTTCTGTTTTAATCACATTCACTATGACCAGCCTTAACTCTTTTGAGCTATAAGCTTAACATCATGTGCTATGAAAATTATATATTCATAGCAGAAAAATTATAAAAACTGTATAATTTTAAAATTCTCCAGTTTCATCATTAAGAGATAACAACTGGGGCATGTGGCACATACTGCTAGCATGTGGAGGCCATGGGTTCAATCCTCAGCACTGCAAAACAAAACAACAACAAACAAACAACTTGAAAAATCAAGCAAAAAAATTTAAAGATATAACCACTCTTAGTCCCTCAAACAGTACTTCCAAAACACTTCCCTATTCAGGGCCAGGATTTGGGTAAGGCAGCGTTGGGTACTGTTTTCATTGAAAATTTTGAGATTTTTGTTTGAGATTTAAAATTTTTGTTTGGAAAAGTCTTTGATTGTTTCATTGATTCTGGTTTTGTAAAATTTTGCACTAATATATTATTTATTTTGATTTCTGAGTTCATGGTGACTTCCCAATTTACTTTCCCCAAGTTCCAGTTTTTGACTGTTATCACTGTACTGCAATGGTAGCAAAAATCATGTTTTTGTTTAATTTATCATGAGCATCTTCCCTTATATGACCATATTTTGTGATAAAATAACTAGTATATAGAAGGTAACACATAACCTAACAAGAGAACAAAATATTGGAATTAAAACTGCACAAATATGGAACATCTTATCTGATACACGGAGCTTAGGCTCTGAGGGACATAATTTGGACATCACCATAAGCACTGCATTATCACACCATCAACTTGCACAAACAGGAGTGATTCCTCAAATCCCCTTCATCTTGCAAAAAACACATGAAGTGATTGCTTAGTGATGACCCAAGCCAAGATGGAAATAGAGCTGTCTCACATGAGTTCCAGAGCTCCGCTTGTAGGTGTCAGGGACTGAGCACTCCATGCAGCCTCTCCTCTTCCTCCTCTCGGGTTCTCATCTCACCTATGATCTTTAAAGATGGCCACCAAGAGAGTGAGCTCCTCTCACACATGGGTAGGGAGCTAAAGGATAGAGCGCCCTCTCCACACGAGGAAGACGTACTCCTTTCTGCTTTCCTTAACATTAACAGTCCGTGATCCCTGTTGAAAACTTTTAGATATAGTAAAAGATAAAAAATTCATAGTCACCTATAATTTCACCACTCAGAGATAACCAATATTAATATTTAGATACACTTCCTTTCATTATTTCTTGTGGAGAGTATTTGGTTTACTTATGAAATTGTGATTGTAATTGCTATAAAGATTTCTCCTCTGCTTTTCTGAGTACATTACCATTATAGTGAGAGCACTTTCTATGCCATTAAATATTTACTTTTCAAATATACAAAAATATGATCTTAGTAGTGTCCTAGTTTTGTATCACATAAATATATAATACTGTACCTAACAAATATCCTATTGTAAAATATTAGGCTCTCTTCCAGATTTTATTTTTGTATGTTTCTATAGTATCCAAATAAATAATACAAATAATTTATATTTAATATGTAAATAAATACATGGCTAATGTAGAGATAATATGTTATTTATGTCTAATAACTAAGCAGCTCTAGACTATGTACGTAAAAACTTATAAATGTTAAAATATGTATAAATCTTTAGCTGCTCTTTGGTTATTCTCCTGAAATAAGTCAAGTAAGTGAAATTCCTAGGCCAAGAAGGCAGGCCTCAGTCAGGAAACTGCATGGCCCTACCTCACTTACTTTTTTTCCCTAACCCCAGCCCTGAGTCATAAAAAAGTGTTTCTGAACAGTCTACACAGGGGTTTCCTGTGTGTGCAAATGAAGCTTTATAACTTATGGTTCAGTTTTTTTATGTTGAGAGCTAAAAAGCCTCCTGTAGGAAACTTGTCCCATGAATACAAACCCACCCCACAACATACTTGCACTGATGAAAAGCCTCAGCTGACATTAAAGGTTGGCATACAATGCCTCTGAGAGTTAAAAACACACTGATTCACATTAAACATAATGAAAATAGTAAAATACTGTTTACCAAAGCAATCAGAGCCCTCATCTTGCAAACTGGGTAAAGCTCTTCAATGACAAATATTTGGTCCATAGGGAAAATGTTCACATCATTCTCCATTATTTTTTAATTATTTTAAAAAGAAAGCAATAATGCATTATTGTGAGATTTATTGTAGAAAAAACTATAAAATGCAAGTGGATAAAAGAAAAATAACCTAGGAGCTGCACTACTCAAAGATAATCATTAATAACTTAGGATATGTATCTATGCAAAATGTGCAATTTTTTCAAAAATAAGAATATATTCTACATGCTATTTTTATGTCAAGAAGATTGTGTCCCCATCTTACTTGAGCAAGAATCTATGCCATAGACCTGTCAGCCTGCCTCTCCATTTCAGGCATATCTTGACAAGTATTACACAAAGAAAGGAAGTCTCCAGGTTGGTGAGATGGTTTCAAGAGGAGGCAATCCCATGGTAAAGAAGATTAAGGAGCTGCAAGCATTCTTTGGGCTCCAAGTTACTGGGAAGTTAGACCAGAACACGATGGATGTGATTAAGAAGCCTCGCTGTGGAGTTCCTGATGTGGCAAACTATCGCCTCTTCCCAGGTGAACCCAAATGGGAAAAAAATACTTTAACATACAGGTAATGAGAACATATTTTCAAAATTCAAAGAGAAACATATTTTCATATTTTCCAAATTCGGAGAGAAACAATCTCTCTCTCTCTCTTCCTTATCTTTTAAAAAGTATCTTCCTCTGATCTGTATAAAAATCACAACTCCCCATAACCATAAGAAAGAATAAGAACTTTCTAGGTCTGTTAGACAATGACAATGGTTAATTCACCTGAAGATAAAAAATCTCAGGATTATCTCAATGACTGGCCATTTTAGGCATTACAGACCATTTTTTCAGTTAGAAACAATGCTTTAATCTCTTTTAAAAAATAATCTAGTATGGAATTAATAGCAGCACCAACCATTTTCTTAAAATAATCTGTTTAATAAGAAAAATAAAACTCACTCTTTAGTGAATTATTTTTTTCATCGATTCCAAAAATCATTTACTGATGATTTATTATCTGCCATAGGCATTCAATTTGGGGGCCATAAAGCTGAATAGGTCACTTTTCCAAACCTTAGGAGGATATAGACATGCAGAGAGCTGTGACTCTCTGAAGAGGAAATACAGGTCTAAGCTGAGAACTCTGAGAGCACACAGCGGGATTGGAGGCATCAAGTTATCAGGGACTGGCAGTGACATCTGGACCAGATTTGAAGGCAAAGTAGCAATACCCATCCCCTACTTCCTTCCTGGGCCCTCTCCTCCTTCCAACCTCTGGTGTTTTCCTATTTAGACCAACTGGTTACCCCCAACAGGAGCCTTTGCCCTTGCTCCTTGTGCTCTGGGTATCAAGGCCAGAATTCCCAACTCTTGCACCCTGGACCCGTTTCTGGGGCCAGCAAAGACTCACCCATGTGCTAATCCAACTGAGGGTTGCATGACCCATATTGCTCACCACTCAGCCTGTGGGTGACCTGAGGGGACTGGATGGTGCCTGATGTGAGCCTCACTCACTCCAGACGGATGAGGTTTGGAAAAGAGTGACCTCTGTTAACAGTTGATCTCCAGGTATTACAAATGTTAGGGGTTTCCCAAGTAGGAAAGTAAACCAAGCACACAGTAGAGACAGGAATGCCTGTCCTGTTGGGCAACAGGTGCCCAACCGGTGCCCTAGGACCATCATGCACTGGAGTACAGGGGCCAGGGAGGGGAGCGGCAGGGAATGAGGCTGAAGGGGCAGCTCGAAAGACAGCTAGATATGACCTTAGGGAGTTAGGACTTCACCCGCAGACAGTGGAAAGTCAGGCCAGCATCAGAATCAGATTGCACTTTTAGGATGAGCACATCTGGACAATATTTGGAGATGAGGAAAGGTTGGTTGGACTCTTGCAATCGTCTAAGTATTGGTGTGCTGCATCTGGCTCCTAACAACTTACAGGAGCCAATCTTAAAAATGTCAGGAATTTTGGAGCGAGTTGTTAAATTTCTATGACTGCTGTGAGCTGGTTGCTAGGATACAACCATTATTAAACTACTGTGTAACATTTACAAATCAGTTGTACTTCAAAGCAAAAGTAATCAAAATATATCACTTTCTACTTTACCATATTTCATTATTTCCAGTACTCACACCTCTGTGTATATCAATCTTGTCAGTATTGTAGAAATGCTGTACAATGGTGTATCCCTGCTCTCTTCTCAATGCTGCAGTCAAGGGTAGCAAGGTCGTAGTTTAAAATTCGCTGTAGTAAGAATATTTACAACTCAAGAATCAGCAAACCATACAAATCAGGAGAATTTCCTTGTCCCCAGTAAAACTGGTTGTTAAGCTGTTCCAGTACCAGTGAGCGACCACATGTGTCCATGCGAGTGACCACACCGAGCCAGAGGACTCGGTGAAGCCTTTTTTTAACCTGCTGTATGCTTACAAATCCATAAGGTGGCGCTCTGAACAAAAGAATCAAAGCGCTAGAGTGAGAGAAAACGTCCAGTCTTTTCATAGTTTTCTTAAACTGTGCCCTAGAATTTTAGCCTTGCACGCAGCAACAAGAAGCCTGACCCCTTGAGGAAGTATAACATTTCGCTGTGAGTCAGGCAACCCCGAATCTCTCTGCACACCCACACTGCCTGTCTAGTCATGGCTCTCAAACAAGTCCTCTGTCCCCTCCCTACCAAAAAGACACTAGAGACCAACTTAGTGCTCTATTTGTGTAGTTCCTGGGTTTCAGAGTAACTTAACAAAACCCAGATGATTTTAAAAGAAAAAAATAGAAAATAGTGCTTATGTGCATAAGCTTTGAAGTCGGATGGAACTGGACCCAAATCCTGATTAATCACAAACATATACGATAAAGATAGTGATTACCTACTTCTCCTGGGATGTTTGAAGAGTAGACAACATTTCATATTAAAAGTGTTTAGAACCATGCTAGCATAGAATATGTCTCCAAAGAATATTAGCAATGATTACTATTGCTTTTTTCAATCAACAGACCTTCGGTCAGAATTTTGTCCACTTTCTCTTCCCTTTCTGGTGTTATCCTTTTCTCCACCCATGTCTTTTCCAGCTCAGCATGCATAATCAGCTCAAAGAAATGGCTGACTTATCTATAATGTGAAGAAATTTCAAGGTACCAACTATGCAAAGTTGAGCTAAATCACAGGTTTGTATTGTAAAGTGAAGTACACATATTTGGAAAGCATTAAATAGTCCTTTTAAGAGTCTTGCTAGTCTTCTCCTTTGACTCCATAGCTTTCTTCTTTTGGCCCCAACTCCTGGGTTAAAGAGATCCTTCTTCTTTCCCCTCCATGTCCTGAACTGAGCTGTTGACCATCCTGTCTGTGGGACATGGTCCTTCTTTTCTGGACCTTGGGATTACCACTGTTGGTTCCTGGTTGAAATTGTCACTCCTGCATCAGAATAACCTAGAATGATTGCTAAAAGGCATGTTTCTGGACCACACCTGCACTTTTCACTGGCTCCCTAGGTAGTTATCACAGGTCCTAAGGTTTGAAAGTCACTGTGTGGGCCCTAAATAGCTAGCTTTTATTTTTTAATTTATCAAGCACTTCCTGAACATTTATTATGTGCAAGGATGGAGTAGGAGCTGGAGAAAGACAGAAAGTAGGTTTGGATCTGCTCCCAAAGTTGACTCTTACAGACCTTGTTTCTTATTTGCACCGATTATTGCAGCCCAACCCAAGGTCCCAGAGCACAAAGCCTGGGAGAATTGCCAACTCTGTCTCCACCCCCTAATTGTCCAAAAAGCACTATATTTTTTTTGCCTTTAAATGTCATTATCGTACCAGAACTTGCTACAGTGCTTAACCTCTTTTCAGATCCAGTGAGCATCTTTCTTAAAGCTAGAATTTCCTCTTTCTTTCAGAATAGAATATGTTAAGAAAAACATTCCCCAACAGGTCTGGGGGAAACCTGCTGGCCTTTGAATGAGAATTTGTAAAGCCCCAAAAGTGCACAGCTATATTTTTATAATTGAATTTTTTCAATCCCTTTTGAGGTAAAAGAGATCTTCTCAATTAAAACCATTGTAGAAAATGAACTTCTTACTAATTGTAACATTTCACAAGTATTATTCTTTAAAATTAATTTCAGTATAATAACAATGGAAGCCACGCTTTTTTAGTACCAGATCATCTCAAATGTCTCTCATTTCTCTCCTTAATGTGTCTTGTTCTTAAACATGCAGCAACCTATATGAAAGAAAAATAAAAATTTATCATTTGGAAGAAAAATCTAAATTATAGATTTATGCTCCACCCTTTAGTTTTTAATACAAACTATAAGACCATATGTACCTTCTTCACTTAGGAGTGTTTATTGGAAAGAAAACATGTCTCTTTTCTTTTCACAGAATATCCAAATACGCCTCTTCCATGAGTCCTGCTGAGGTGGACAGAGCAATACAGATGGCATTGCAGGCCTGGAGCAGTGCTGTTCCTCTGAACTTTGTTAGAATAAACTCAGGAGAAGCAGATATTATGGTATCTTTTGAAACTGGAGGTACTGGTGCTTCTTGGATTCTGTCTACTAAAGTAAAGAACTGTTCCTTCTACATCTTTAAAGCACAGTCCTCCACCACAGTGTTGTGACAGGCAGAGGCCAAAACCTTGGAAAAATCATGATCTTCATCTGGCCACAAAACAGAACAAAAGGAGTTCCTGGCGTTTCTTGTCATCATCATACTCACTAAGACAGACTCACCATAGCAAGCTTTCAATATGGTTTTATCCCATTAGGGGACAAATTCTGTCAGATTTCATTTTCTCATTGGTGGGCCAGGGATGTAGTTTAGTGGTGCCACAACTGCCTGGCAAGCACAAGGTCCTCAGTTCCATTCCTGGTACAGGGGTTCAGGGGACACTTTCCCATTGGCTAGGAGGCCACCTGACCTCATCACTTTCCAGGATAATCTTTGGCACCCTCTTTCACATTAGCCAAGAATCCCCCACCTTGGGTCCTCACTGAAGGAAATAAGTTTCACAGTGACCCCAATGCAGCTTTTCCCCTGTAGCTTTTCCCCTTTTCCCCTGTACCTTTTGAGAAGTACATGGGAGTTTGGATTCCAACTTGCCCCCTTCTTCATCCTCTCTCTTACCCTGGAATGAGTATGGCATGAGTTTGCACAGGGAATGGTGGAGAGCTCTGAGCCCTTTTTCAGAGAAACACCAGATAAGGGAGGGCCAAATGGCCCATGGGGTTCCTTTCCCTCCTTAGCTTCCTAACAGTTAAGATAAATGAGAAACACTGTCTCTTCCGCTCCACAGACAATGTTTCTAAGAGACCTTGATATTTCAAGTACTGATCTTAATTTTAATATGATGTCCTGTGGAAAAACATCCTTAGGAGTTAGGAGAGAGATCAAGCAAGTCTTGAGTCCAATCTCTTTAGAAATGGCCCTAAATGTAACCTAACCCTTGGAAAGTTCTGTGTCTTACAGAGGATGAAAGCCACTTGGTGAAGTGGCAGGAGAGTGTGACTCAGAGCAGCTTCGGGGGACATGGAATTAATGTGTGGCTCTCTCTTGATTTTTCAAGGTGTGCCCTGTCCCCTAACACAAAGGCTGGCGAGGCCCCTGTTGCAATGAGTCCTCAGGACATGCAACCTGATTGAACTGCATTGGACTCAGACTTGAGAAATAGTCTACCCAAACTTTGTTTTGATTTTTATAAAACTGGTTAAAAATTACCATGGTAAAAAAACTGTGAAATGTAGCTTCTACTACATTGCTCATTTGGTCCTTCTTCCTTTTCTCTTCATGAGCTGTTAATTAAAATACAGATAGTAAAACAAAAGTAGTACCTAGGTCCATGCATGCTTTTGTTTACAAATAGTTTGGTTTGCAAACTGATGGATTTGGAAAAATTTTGCTTTTGTTTCCAAACTCCGCATCAGGTGACAAAAATGACCAAGGTCATCTTTCCAATGCAAACGCAAACGTGGTCATCTTTTCCAAATCTTAGAATAAAGTTTGTGAACCAAGGTACTACTGTATGTAAAACTTTAGAGGTTAAGGTTTTCCTTTATTACTTGCACGAGTTTTATACATGAGGGCATAACAAAGTTACAGAGATTGTCTTTTTTGATACTTTCTTAAATTGAATTGTATTATGTGATAGAAACAAAAACCACAGGCTTATTCAATTTACTACTGCTGCCTCAGCTAATTGTATTTTGAAAGCTCCTTCTGCCAACAGGTTCACATTCCAATCAGTGGACCAGGCTGCTGTAGAGACTCCTTGTGTTCTTTCTCCTTTTGTAATATATAGCATAGCTATAATCCACCATATGCTCTGCATCCTGGTAAAGAGAATAATACTGTTTTCTAATTTTAATGCATCAATGAAGCATTAAATAGTCCTTTTTGTTTTTCAATAGGCATTCATTGATAAGTGAACTTCTTACTATAAAAAAAATCTATATAAAAAGTAAACTTAAGCATCAGTGCTATTCACAATATCCATTCTCTGTGCCTCTGAAATGTTAGGACTTGACCATGTTGGCATTTCCTGTTGTTTAGATCACGGAGACTCCTACCCATTTGATGGGCCTCGAGGGACTCTAGCCCATGCATTTGCACCTGGAGAAGGCCTGGGAGGAGATACACATTTCGACAATGCTGAGAAGTGGACTTTGGGGATGAATGGTATATATGCACAATTCACCATAACCTGGAAAATATTGTACCTTCTTCTGGGCCTCCATCATGAAACCTTGAGGTTCAACGTCCCAAGCCACCCTTTAACTAGGGGGGCTGGCTAGGAAAAACAAGTAAGCCAAAAATCCACAGGGGAACACCATAAGGGAAAAGATCCACTAAAGATTATACTGTAGATTTGTCTGATGATCTCTGATTCCTAGTATATATAATCTCAAGAACCAGCAATCCCCTCCTCAACACACAACTCTCTTTTTGTCAACTATGTAGCATTTATTGTTGCTTACTAGTGCTTGGAAAAAGGCCACATTCAGAAATGACCTGAGGGAACCAGTGTATCTTGAGATGCATCATGGGGATGGGAATGAAAATTCCAGAATAACATGCAGGTCATCTGGAAATCTTCAGTGTGAAATGTGTGCATGAAAAGGAGTAGGCTGTGATAGCAGAAAACTAGTCAAGCAATGGTAGTTCAAATTTGTATATTACTGCAAATTTCATTCATTTCAAAATTCATTCAAGGCCCTCCTATATCAAGTATCTTCCCCAACCCTAACAGGGGGAAAAGAACTAGATTGAAATCAGCAAAACTAAGTGTCAGAATGGTGTGCCAAACTTTGAATAATACAGGATATGTTTGGGGCATAAATTCTCCTGTAAAGACAGACGATTGAGAAAACAGAAACCTGTGTTGATGCTGTCTTTCTTTCTCATATTGTTTAGGTTTCAATTTATTTACTGTTGCTGCTCATGAATTTGGCCATGCCCTGGGCCTGGCCCATTCCACAGATCCATCAGCACTGATGTATCCAACTTATAAGTACAAGAATCCCTATGGATTCCGCCTCCCTAAGGATGATGTGAAAGGGATCCAGGCCTTGTACGGTATGATGACTACACTTCTTTGACCACTAACCCTGAAAGTGACAGGCATTCAGTCTCCAACTTAAAGAAAGTCCATTTTTCCAGGAGCTACCGGCATAGGTAAAGATTATGCTATAGACCTCAGCCCTGATGATATCTTTTTGTGAAGAGCTCAGTTATAGAGATTACCAGTTATAAAGATTCCTTTCTTTTTTCTTTTTTAATATGTACAACTAAATTTTGCATCTTTCCTCCAAAATATTCTGGCCATGGCTGGACATAGAACATACAACCATTTGTTTTTCCAGTAGGTCAAAAGTTACACAATGGAAGAACATGGACATATTTTATAGTTCATATATATCATGCTTACCTGCTTGCAGATAAGTGGCCTATTCCTAAAAATAGCTATGGTGACAATATAACTCCACCACTCAGGTGTATGTACAATCTGCAATTTATGGACTGTGATCACATGTATCATCTCATGCCACCCTCATGACAAGGCTGTAGGGTATGAAGTGTTCTCCTCACTTGATAACTGAGAAAGCTGAGGGTCAAAAACAGTTAAGGATCCTAAGATATTCAAAATTATCTCTTGTTAACATTCTTTCAAAAGGTAAGAAAGGATTATGAGAAATTCTATACCCAGTTTTCCTTAAGAACAAAACAATACATGAGAAGGAATCTTCAAATATCCTTATACTTTGACAATTTCTGTTTAATGAATAAAAAAGCAAAAAGAAATGGGGGGGGTTCACCCAGGCCTTGGAGACCAGCTTCTCCAGTCTCTGCCTGTCAGAACCTCTCCCCATCCTCTGGGCCTAACGGATCTGGAGGGCCACATCTCCCAGTGGCCCTTGCCTATTTGCAGGCCAACCAGCTGACTAAAAGAGGTGCACACATCTGCAGATAGACATCACCCAAGGCACAAAAGACAGAATTAATCCAAAGGGTTAATTTCCAGAGGGTTAGGTGCCATTTCCACTGAACTATAAGGGACAGGGTAATGCTGTGAATGTCTCAATTTTACAAATTCTTCAGAGCATCCATGGCAGAATGCCAAAGTGAAGCAATTCTCACGAGCCACCAAGAAGGGACAAGCCCATATACTTGTCTGATGCCAGTCTCGACAGGCCAGGAGCCAAAGCACACATTTTGACATGGTCATTTATATAGAGGGGAGCAAAAGGTGAAAATATGGCTTTGTGTTGCCAGGGAGCAGGCACTTCGACTACTCCTGACCACCTTCTACTGATCTTCACCATATTTCCAGTTTTCCATCTTCTTCCAAAGCCTCACCTCCGACCCTCATCCCATTCCAGACCCCTCCTCTATCCTGGATCTCAATCTATCTCTGTCCCTGATCGGGCCCTGCACTCTTCCCCTTTCCTCATTCCTTCCCTGATTCTCACCTTGGGCTACCACAAGCTTCATCAAAGAGCTGGGGTCTTCCAGGGACAATGATTAAGGCAACCCCAGGTCAGTCTTCTATAGCTGGCAGATGCAGTGGGGGAAGCAAACATCAGCAGCTCCCCTCCCCAAAATGGGTCCCAGTTGCACAAACAGATCCCCCAGAAGATACCTTTAAAAAGCAAACATCCTGTGGACTTCAGCTCCACTCAGTCTGTCCTCAGCACTTCAAGAAAGACTTGAGCAAAGTGCAGGATGCCAAGGACTATATGGAAAAAATTAGAAAGTTCTAATCTTCATGGCAAAAATAATTTAATTACAAAGAAATAATTAAGAACAAATTTTAATTGCAGTATATTTCTAATTCAGAGAACCTGTAGCTACCAAGGAAGCTATTAATGACAATAAAAGAATAGAAACAATTCTGTAAACATCTACTATGTGCCAAGCTTTACAGATATCATTTAATTCTTGCAACACTCTTCAGAAGTAAATCCTGTAATTACCATTCTTATTTTACAGTTGAGGAAGCTGAGACTTTAAAAAGTTAATATATTTGCCTCAAATCACACAACTCAGCAAGTAGGGAAGCCAAGATTCAAACAAAGGTCTATCTGTCGTTGACAGCCATGTCTTTATGACGTGGTCATTCACAGAGTGAACCTGTACATGTTCTCCCAGGTCTCTAGAGCAGAAATGTGCAAACTCTAAATTCCTGGTATGATTTTGACCAAGAGACTTTGAATCCTAGGACCTCGGAAACCATTCCTGGGAAAACCTACTATTCCCCACGTACCCCCTCACAAGCCATCCATCCCTGATGTCTGTGACTCCCTCTCATCCTTTGATGCCGTGACAATGCTAGGAAAGGAGCTTCTGTTCTTCAAGGATCGGTAAGCCTAAAACATACCAACAGCTCTTGTCAGGCCTCAGCTCACCTCCAGACTACCATCACCCTGGAGGTCTTTGTTGCTGGCATGTCTGAACACCAGGCAGAACTAGTGTCTTTAGTGATGGTAGTGTGGGCAACAGAGGTTTTGGGTACATATAAAACTTCCAAAGCTAGTGTTTGTGGAGCACCTAGTATGGCCTTAGTGCTGTGCTAGGTTCTTTCCACATATGTATAGTATTTCTTCTAACTCTTCACTGTAGAGATTATAATCTCCAATTTACAGAGGAAGAAGGTAGCTCAAAGAAAAGAAGCAAATTTCCCGAGGTGACAGTTAAGTGGCTGAGCTAAGATATCAAATCAAAGTCATGTGGTGTTTTTTTGTGTACTACTATGTGGCTAGTAAGAGCACTTAGTAAGTACTCAATAAATATTCTTCAGTGAATGAATGTTGGCTAGCTGAACAGTTGAACATATAGATGGATGAATGGAAGGGTGGATGGATGGACTGATGGATGGATATATAAGTGAGAGGATGATTCTAAGGTAAGCACTCTTCTTAAACTTCTCTTTTTCAAGGCCTTTCAGCTTTCCCACATCAGTTAATGATCAGATAGCATAGATAAAACAGATTCCTTTCTGTCACAGTCTGGCTTTTCAGGGAGTATGGCTGCTGTCTCCATGAAACTGGAAATTGTAATTATTTCTTTCTGAGGAGAAAAAGAGAAACAGCAACACTTAACCTATATTCCTCCCATTACTGGAGACAGAGTTCAATCACACCAGAACAGACAGAGAAGCTCAGGAATGTGTGTGTATGACATTTTTTTCTTCACTAGAAAAATGTTCATTTAGCCTATATTGGGTATGAAGCACTCTTGTAGTATCTACAGGCATAAAAATAGACACTCATTCTACCTTTGCATATCTCATAATTGAATGAGAAAGTATATCCAAAAATCATTCCAAGACAGTGTGACATATGCTATAAAAGGTAGAGCTATGAGATAAAACAGAGAAAAAGCACCTGGGGAGGTCCAGAGAGAGATTATTAAGGAGATGATGTCTGAAAATTTTCGTGTTTCTTTTGAGAAGAGATCTTTAAGCTATTAATGTGAGTGATTTTGTTCATTCAGGAAAAAAAGAGAGTAACAAAATATAAAAAGAAAGCGTCATTTGCACAGAATCTTACACCCAAAATACATTAATCCACTTGAGCTGCCCTGACAAAATACCTTAGATCTGGTAGCATAAACAAATTAACTTCTCACACTTCTACAAGCCAAAGTGCTTACAAGGTAGGTTTCATCCTGAGGCCTCTTCCTTTGGTTTCCTGTAGGCAGCCAACTTCTCACCATGCTCACATGACCTCTTTTTAAGCATGGAGGGAAAGAGGGAGAAAAAGCAGACACACTTTCTGGTGTCTCTTTTTATCAGGACACTAAATTCCATCACCAGGACCTCACCTCCGTCACTTCATCTAAACCTCATTATCTCCCTGAAGCCAGTGTCCAAATGCCATCAAAATGGGAGTCAGAGCTTCAGCATACAACTGGGGGGACACAAACATTCAGTCCTTAACACAGAATGAAGAAATAGCTAAGCATGCTGTTCTATATCCTCCCGGGGCTTTTCTCTGAATTGAAAGATATGTGTTATAAATAAGAGACCATGGCAAGGATTTCCAAAAATATAAGATTTTACTAGTTGTGTTGATTTATAAAATTTTTCACTCAACAATATTTTGTTTTAAATAAATTTTTATTTTTATATATTACATAATATTGCAATGAATAGATATAGGATTACTTTTTTAACCAATCTCATACTTATGAGCACCTGTATTATTTCCAATTTTTAAAAATTAGGAACATCCTGAACTAAATCTTCAAGAACAGACAGGTATTTAGTTTTTAAAGGCAAATTAGAGCAGACCTCAGGAGCCCAGGCTTTCTTCTCTGACTAAGCAGGCTTAAATCTTGGCTCTCCTCTTGCTAAGAAGGTGGCCTTGGGCACTTAACATTCAAGACACATAGAAAGTGCACAATAAATGGCAGTTGCTATTTTTAGAAGTGAGAATAAAAAAATATGTACTGTGGCACAAAAGCTTAGAGACAACTTGGGGTATTTAGAAAACCCAGTTGATTTCTTTTTATTTATTCTTACTATTTTTAAATTTTTTAAGACTTATAATCATTGATGTCATTTCTATTGAGTATTATTGTCAACCTAAAATAACAGCAGAAAGAAAGTCTCTCTAAACAAACAGCAAGTTTATTCAGGAATAAGAAGGGGACTGTAATCCAGGACACTTGCTGTAGAAAATCACAAGGGCATCTGAGGAGGTGAGAACAAGGGGAGAAAAATATCTGAAACAAAGTTGATTAGTCACGGAGGCTCATTGCAGAAGCTGGAGATTACTCAATGATAGCACTAATTGTTGCTGGGGAGATGTCTTCATAGAAGCAACTTGTCTGGAATGTTTTTGTGCCGTCAAAGAATTCTTGAAGTAGTTCTTAGCTCTGACACGCAAGCATAAGATCCCCTCCGTTGTGAGCTCCCAGCTCTGCCTTGGTTTGTATCTAACATAGTTGAACATCTTGGCATTGGCAGCTTTCACTTCACTGAAAAATAAACCAAGCAGAATTGATAGGCAATGGCCCAGAGGTGGCAAGCGAGGTATAGGGCAGGAGGAGCTTGGGACACAAGGCTAAGGAGCACTGGCTTCGCCAGACGACAACACTGTCAGACACTGAAAGAGCACGTAGCACTCACTCAGCAATGAAGAAATGCACTAAGCATCGTGTAGAGTGTAGCTTATTCTTTTGGTAAATATCAGTGGTGGCAGTGGAGACAAAAAAGGCAGTGAGGTCAGCAATTTCATTCAATTATAATTCTTTAAGAAGCAAAACCAAACAAATACCTCTCTATCAAACTGTAACATTCATCAGTTGATAATCATAGTCTTGACTATGAATTCTGAGAGTGATAGTGAAATAGAAAGGAGACATAGATGTAAGAAGCATCTAGAAATGAATAATCAGGGGAGGGATTAGAGGGGAGGAGAGGGCTGACTAAGAATGTGATGAGCTATTGTGGTAGGGCAGATAATTCCAAAGAACTAGGAAGAGGCATCAGCAGGGCAGTGGTAAGGACTGGGATTTGCCTCTAACTCACCACAGTCCATGAGCCTCTTTGTCCTCTGTAAAATGAGGGTGTTGTCCTATGAAAACAGTGACTTCAATGTGTTCAGTACTTATTGCACTAAACATTTTGTTATCAAATCCCTGTGAGTTAGAAAGTATTCTCTCTTTATAAGGCAGAGAAGGAATAAGCAGCTTGTTCAGGAGCACATAGCTAGTGACGGTTGAGGCTGGGGTCCACATCTCTGCTGTCACACTCCAGAGCCCATGCTCCTGCCTGCTCTGCAACCTCCAGAGGTGCCATCCAGAGATGGAATTCCATGACTCTATAGCTCTGATCTCCTACTGGCTGTCACCAAAAGTCCCAGCCTGGACAAAGAACAAAGAGTTCTTTTAAATCACAGTTATAATGGCAACCAGGGAGCCACTGATTATGAAAGGGCTCGTGTCTGCTCTCTCCCGCTCATCAGCCTGGAATTCCCCAGACATTTCAAGCTGTGAGAAAATATTCACACAGCTTGTTTCCAAAGCAAGATAGGATGTAATACCTTTTGAAGTCTCCCTGAGGATGCTGGATACTCTGTATAGTGCATATAAGCACGTTCCAATGTTCTAGGGAAGAGAAGAGAGAAATGACTGGATTTGCAGCCATGCTAAAATTATATTTGCTTCTTTCATACTAGTTGGGTTTTACCCAATATACTTTTAAGGATAAAGTCAAGAATATCACAGTCGCATTCAGATTTTAAAAGAATAATAGATTTTACAAATGGAGCAAGCATAATGGTTGATCATGTCCAAATCCTTCCTTTTAAAGATAAGGTAACTAGGCCCAGGTCTCTCAGTACTACAGAGCATCCACTTCAGGCCAGGGCTTCTAACTCCTATTCAGAATCTATCCTATCACTAACAGGGACCATCTGCTGGCTATGAAACAAACTGCTAAGCACTGAATTTTAACTTGAATGAGCATATGCTTTTTGATTGTTACACACTTGAATTAGTAGGAAAAGCATTTCCAGGTTGTCCTCAGACTCTGCCTGCAGATTGGACTACCACCCACATGGAGGATTATTTTCCTCAAAAATAAGTTTACTTTATAAAAATAACTGTTACATTTTAAAAAATACTATATATCTTACAATTTTGTAAAAAAACATTTCTAAGGGTTATGCAAATAGGAATTGACGAGAAAGACAGATGTAAGGGGCATTCTGGAACATTCACCAGCAGAATTGAGACACTAATTTGGCCAGAACAATGGAAAAGAAGAGTCAAAAGAGGAAATAGCCACATGGCTCAGAGTATTATAATGATATTATTTATATCAGAAAAGTAGAGAGGGTTTGTTGGACACATAAAGAAGTCATGTCAGATGTATCCGATTTAAAGTGCTGACAGTTCTAGTGGGATTTTATTTAAATAAGCTAGCTCAGCAAGAGGTGGCAGCTGGAGATCTCATGCACTTTGATTCTCTCACATGGAGAAGGCAGTTAAAGACGTGAGCCTGGGTAACAGATCTGAAGAGAGAATGAAGAGAAAGCAAGGAAATCTAGGGAATGAGCCTCAGAAATGATAACGGTGAGGAAAAGCATTGAATAAAGAGCAGAGTGAGGCAGCATTCTAAAATTAGTAGTAACAACAGCAATAATAATAGCTGACATCTATGATGAGCTCTGAATTATGCTAAGCAGGTTACACACATTTACTCATTTAATCCGCACTGTTATTGTTCCCAGCTGGAATGTTATCCTCAGTCTGCTTGACATCAGACACAAAATCCCTGTGGTAGAACACCAAATAAATCAGGGAAAGGAGGCTTATTTTACTTTTGGAGTTTGTTTTGTTTCAAATGACCAAC